GGGATTGCTATCGCTCTTAACGCCGTTGAGGTTCCACCATGAACCTTTCTTCCATTAAGGCACCATCTGATACAGTGACGACTACGCTCCAGTTGACCATATCACCTCAGGAGTTTCATTATGCCAATTGCGAAGGCTTTTCCAAAATTCAGTGAACTCCCTAAAGAGTTGCGCTTGATGGTATGGAAGCTCGCATGTTTGAGCGGACCCATGCGCTTGACTCTCGAAAGAGACGAGAGACATCAACCTCATAACAGCCCGTTCACGCACCACATCGTGTGTTGCTTCTTATTACCGTCGATATGGCATAATCACGTCGCAAACCACCAAAAACAGCGAACCGCGCCATTCTCTGTGTGAGCAAAGAAGCCCACAAGGAGGCCCTTAGATATCTGAATGTGATGTCGACATCCGATTTCCCGTTCTTTCTGAGCCGACGAGAGCATTACGCAGCTCATAGTGCCGCCGGGCCTAGACGACCAACACCACGTCTTCTGGCAGTTGATTGGAAGCAGGATCTCTTTCGTCTACCATGGTATCCGGGCTTTGAGGTCACACGAGTTTTCCCGCTACAGAAGATAACTCGACTGGCAATTAATCTGGATGATTCGGCATGCTATAAATTCTCTTGTACCAAGGATTTACTTGACACTTTCCCTGCTATGGAGCATTTGACGATAGTCTTTGACGGCAATTTTCGCGAGGCTTGCCGCGAGCTTCACGGATACGACGTCATCACACCCATAAGATACATCGCGAAAAACGCTTACTACTTTTCGCCTTCACCACAGAAAACAGCTGATGAATTCTTATTACGGGTGTACTCAAGAGGATCGATGGACCGGACGATGATGGAAGGTTGCTTTTGGGAATCCTGGCCTATTAGTGCAGAATTACTTGACGAGAATGATTTTGACATTGTAGGGAAAGAAGTGGAAGCATTAAAACCTGGAATACAGGTTGAGGCTGTATTGGACACAACTATTCTGCATATGTGGGAGCAGTAAATCCACTTGGTCTCATTCGGTCAGCTGAGTTCGTATCGTCTCGTTTACCAGCTCCTCTACCAAATAAATCGGCTGTGTGAGACTCCTTCATTGATCATGACCGGTTTACATTAATAAGGATCCGCTGTGCTTCGATGATGACTTAATGGCTTTTCTAATGCGCATTACTTTTATTCTACCATGATTTCGATGATCTAGAGTTGACCTAGATATGTGACAAAGTTTGCTCCGGAATCTAGTCATGTCAAAGATGTGCTCTGGAGCCTATGAAACTTATTTTCTTACGACTGACTATCCACATGAGATTTTGGCTTGAGCTCTGAACACGATATTGAAGTGTGAAACTATTGGATGGGCTATTTACAGCTGTATAGGTGAAGCAGTAATTGCATGTGTATTGGTTGCTGATTAGTTGATGATCTAGGTCTATGGAAGATCCCTCATTGTTCGCAACCCCTATCTGTACGTGTGGATCGCGCAGGTGCCACGTATTGACTATCCAACAAAAGCTCTCTGCCCCGTAACTGTAAATGCATGCTATTTATTTCTTACATCACTAGCTGTGGAGAGTTGATTCAGAAGTAATCATTCTCTCAGCTCAAAGCGTCCATGTATATCCTGAAGTTGCTAAGAAAAATCTGAAGAAAGTAGCTCGTTTCAATTGCTAATATCTAAAATCAAAAACTATAGTCTCCTTCCGCCCCCCCCCCCCCCCCGGGGGGGCTTTTTTTGTCCGTAGTACACGATGATTCTGCCGTATCTCAAGATCGGACAGACAAAGTAGTTTACTCGCCGTTGAGAATAACCCAGGTACCGTGCTTAGCGATATTGTGGTCATCGTTGTGGTAATGAATCTTGTTGCTGTCATTGGTGATGCACCCGCCGATCTGCAGATCGGCAGAGTCGCGGATGACGGTTGGAGGGCCTGCCGAGCCGGAGTAGCCTTCGATCGAGTATTCAACCTCGCGGAGATTGAAAATCTGACCGCATGGCCTGGAGGCTAAAACTCGGAGAACCTGTAGCCCGGACACGCATAATCCCGACCTATCGATAGCCCAGTGCTGGGCCAGTCGTCATTATGCAGCTCCTGCCCGAACCGATGATTTGGGGAGTGGCGAGGCGGCCGAGGCCTGCCATGGTGATGAGGAGGGCGGCGGAGCGAGTGATGAAGTGCATGGTGAAGTGATGTTATATATATTTTGAGCGAGAGAGGAATGAGTATTGTTTTGGTATTATCTTGTCTAGTAAATGATCCCATGCTCTCCGATTATGGTAACCGGGGTGATAAAAAGCAAGACATCAATTCAGGAAGAAGGGTTGCAGACGACGACTTTTATACTCATTGTCCCTGCTTTGTTCTTGTATTCTACCGAAATAGGGGCTTAGGGCTATGCTGTAACCGCTTTAGAAGTGTTTCAAGTCGGAAGCCGCCGAGCATACACCTGTTTGTTGCTTTACCTTGCAACTACATCCCATCATGTCACCTGCTTCGCCCCTTCCAATGCACTATCGACTATTGATTACAGATCTATGACACCATTAGGTAGAAATGATTCAGCATACTCTATCATATTGTCAAGACGGTAGGGTCATGCTGCAAATTCCTTGCGGCGAGGAATTAGTCATTGTTGTCAACAAGATACTGAATATGCTTGAATAGCTGGAGAGAATCAGGCCCCCATCAACGGGACTTTTAATTACATAAATATAAGATGATTTTTGGCTGACATGTTAAAGTGCCAATCTTGCACACTCACAATAAGTACTGCAGATGTCCGGTGAGGATCTCGCGAAATACAGCTGTGCCAATTTCAGCCTCATCAAAAAATACAACCGTTATCCAAAGCTTTTATAGTTTTGGCCAGCTCATAGCTCATGTAGATGAAGTCGTTCCCCTTTGCGGTTATGAGTGGATATAGACTAACAATAGAGCATGGAGTTGCGTTTCAGGGAAGTAGGTTTTACATAGTGAAGAGCTGAAGGTCTTGGCATCGGGAAACCACTTCTAGGATACCGTATTGCAGATGACGTGAGTTTCAGGCTCAGAAAAGAGCTACGTGTACTTACTAAAAGACAAAATCAAATAAAAGCAACCAGCCCGGGTACGTGCATATGCAAATTTTTCTTTTTAGTGTAGGTTCCATGGAGAGTTACAGAGACGGTTCATCCGGTGTCCGAAATGAACAAACATGAGGACCAAAGATGAGGCTCAGGCAATTTCAGTACCTAGAACGGATAGCCAAAAGTTAGGACCCTTGATATGAGTACCCAAGACGTTGGCTTGCGTCAAGCAAAAGACGAGTAGCGACCGTAAGGTCAGGCGTGCCGGTTCCCGATCATGATGAAACCGTGAAATTCGCCGGTCGGCTTCGAAACTGATATCGTATTCGGTCAACTCGGATAACACAACTGGTGATATCACCTTGTAAGACAAGGCAAGACAGGGCAAGACGAGTAGTGTGTTGAATAAGCTATGAACATACCTGGGTTCAGCGCTAGTTACGGGCAAACTCCAGCTCAGGAGTTTTTCTATATCCTTATACTTTTCACGGTCCTCTCATTGCCTTTCTCCCCACCTGGACAACTCCAACATACCTCCAGGTTTCATGGAGTCCCGGATTGGTGCGACAACAAAATAGACAGCAATAACCCAGCTTCCTGTACAATATGACTCTTACACATCTCATCGCGTTGGTTATGATGTATATGGGAATTAAAATTGGTGCTTGATGTATGCAGTGAAGAGAGACTGCGATATGTGTGATAATCCGTGGTAATCCTCTGGCGGGTCATGATTGGAGGTGTGGCCTCGAGAGATTTTCTGTCACGGAAAAATTTTGCTTCTACGGAATGGGAAAAAAATTCCAACAAGCAGAATTTTAAGCGACCGCTGCATAGGTCTACATTTGGCTTTGGTTAAAAAAGACATATGTACAGGTGAACCCTTGAAATACTGATTTGAAATTGAGAAGGCAGACTTTTTGACGCCGAACTCCATCTTTGTAACAAAAAGATCATGATGCGCGATTATTCTTCCCTCGCTTGCCTCTTCATGGCTAAACAAGCATTGGCAACATTTAGAGGTTAATTCTACATTGATGCATTCAGTACAAAGGTTAAGGCGTTCACATAATCCCTGAGTCTAGCACCCATTATTTTAACTTGACATGACACCTCGGATTTGTCCCTTTAGATGTCCATCTAGGTTGGTGTCTCCTATGGTGATGAGGCTTAGCTCGTCCAGCCCCTTTTGAACTAGTGCGCGAACAATGAAGATTGCGGATGCGATGCCTCTGAGTACCGATGGTGTGTTGCCGTGAAAACCTTTATTAGGCCAGAGCAATTGGGGGCGTCATATGTCAAGGTCAATGCAAGATACGATCTCTTCTTCAAAAGTAGGCAGTACCCATGAAGGAGATGCTTGGTATTGAGAGCCTTTGACATAGACTGCAAGCTACATAACAAACCTGCAGGGACCAGCATTGACCAAACGGTCTGGATTGATGGCGCAGAGGTCTCTGCGATGTTGAACTGTAAGCGATGAGAGGCGTCGTTTTTCCCGCCAAAAATACTATCATGGACCTTGATGTAACCTTTGGCGAGCCTGTGAATGTACTTGTCGGTGCTAACGAATGCTCATCTAGTGGGTGTGGTATATTGTAAGTAAACAGTGAAACTTTCTCACATTATGAAACTTACACATGGTATTAACAAGTCATACAAGCTAACCCAACTTCATGCTCCATCTGATGAGTGTGTAGAAAATTTCGAAAACTGTTTAGATCGGTATTATATCTTATGGCTATAGCTTGTTTAACAGAGGCAAGAGTTGGACGATTGAGTCTATCGATATAAATTTAGACTCTACTTGAGATTAATTGCTAGATGGTACTATAGGATACCTACCTGTGCTGCTTTTTTTTTGACTGATCAATTGTTTAGATAAAGTTCGGAGGAGCGGAGGAGCAAAGGAGCAGAAAGCAAAAAATAAATTGGTCAGTATGAGGGTCGAACTCATGACCTTCGCATCACTTAGTACAGTGGGATTCTGTATTAGTACCTGTCATGGGTTAGTAAGATTAACAGATGCTGCAGGTAGTATAACATACGACGCTCTAACCAACTGAGCTAACCGACCGGTGCTGGATTGTTAAGAGCGGGCTTGCTATATGGTTATATAGCCCACTAATTCTGACTCGTGCGGGGTTACTTGCTCCTAGATACCTTTGATTGGAGCCTCCTTATTCCCGCTTACCTAAACCAGATAAGCTCTAAGCTTATTCATATATTATACATTAAGTGAGTAAATTTTAATTAAATGATTTATTTATAATTAATAATATTAAATATAATTGCTGATTTAATAATTAGGGAGATGTTATATAATTAAATATTTTATTTATTTCTGATTTTACCTGCATTATTAAAACACTTGTGAGCCTCCTTTGTAAACGGTGGCCATAGCTTTTCCCCACAGCTTTTCTTGTACTCTTGTGAGATCGATAATCATAAGGGCTTCACTAAATAACTTGGACAGCTGCAAACTATTAATAACAATCGAGATTCCACTACACTGGTGTTATGTAAGTACCGCCCCATGATTAGTTGCTCTTTTCAACAAGATGGTCAACTAAATATTAACAAGGAGGGAGTCAAAATGATGACCAGTCAACCTTAAGCTAAATAAATTAAATCAATCCATGATAGCATCACAACCGCCCCCAGCCAAAGATAATCCCATCGCCATCGTTGGATGCGGCGTCTTTGGACTTAGTACAACGCTTCACCTTACACGCCGTGGATACTCTGACTTCACGGTTATGGATAAGCATGCCTACGACGACACACGCTATCCGTATTTTAACGGTATCGAAGCAGCGTCCGCCGACATGAACAAAATTGTACGTTCAGCGTACGACAAACAGACCGAGTATCAATCTCTGTCTAGAGAAGCCATCGCTGCGTGGCATTCCGGGAACGTTGAGCTAGGGCAAAATAGCACTCACATCCTGTGACAGGATTGCGTAGATGTTTGAACAATTGTACAAAGTCACCCACAACCCCACGGTTATCACATTCACTGCGAAGCAGGTTCGACAGTCTTCGGGTGTATCTCTGGAGCACCGCGTCTGGAAATGATTAGATTGACCCAGGATAACCCTTGACGGATGGCGTAGACACTCACCTTGACTCATGAGGCCGCGATCGAGGAATTCCTGGACTTCGGCTCTGGATGTTCGGCAACAGTTGTTGTTGTCGTACTTCTTAAAACTTTCAAAGCTGACAATGGCATTTGCTCGATGTCTATGTCTGTTAATTTTGGTGCTTCTGATGGCCGTAAGATTCCGGTACACGCAGGGTGGTTAATTAGAGGATATGAAGATAGAGACTTGGTGAGTGCAATAATCGATATTGCGCTGAGGAAGTAAAAATATTTGTATAGTTATCTACCTAAGGTACCTATTCTATATGAACTCGAAAATGATCGAATTGCCACGTGGCTAGTACAAGTATTTAAATATATAATAGTAGAATAAACCAGATATGACGCAATGCGGCATGAGAGGCTGAGCGTCCGAAATTTCTCTTGCCGCATAGTTTGTGCCGCAGTGAAAACATAACTATTCTAGGTATGTTCAAGCTACGTCGCCCCAATGTAATCATGCCCCTCTTCTAACAAAAGACTTTTCTTCCAGATAGCCATCCACTCAAATTCAGTAATGGATTATCTCTGGCTCACGAGTGAGATAGGACTTTCTGTGGCACATGTGTTGAGCCATGGTAATCCCTAGTTTGAAACAATAAGAAGGATGACTCAACTCTTTTTTAAAAATAATCTCCTTTTTTCCAAAATGGTCTCTTCCACGATGAAAATCACCTTGAGCCGGGACCCCAGTCACCTCTTGCAACGAATATTATGGACTTGACGATCTTGTAGATGGGAAGCAGCTCAGTCCTGAAGAGAAATGTTTTGACAGGGCGTCGACAGACAGGCAAAGCCTCAGCCGTCTGTATCGATTCAGTTCCAAAATCTCGCATCTAGCTTACTGCAAAATACAAGGAGTCAGGAGCGAATTGACATTAGGCTTCCTGTTATCGTCAATCTTGTTGGGAATAACGAGCTTCTCAAGCCTGTCGATCCGTAGATCAGTTTCCTGAGAAAACAACTAACGGCAAGCGAGGATGAGCCAACGGTTACGTAGGAACTGGAAGCTAGTAAGTAGGCTTGGACTTTCAATATAAAAGCAAGAGTCTCTCGCGCTACGTTTTCAACACAATAACAATCAGAGTTCCGAAGGCCCAAGGCAACAAATGACGAGACTCGGCCAGTATCATATTTATACTTCTTCGAATCTTTTCAACTTCAAGTGTGATCAATCTATCTCGTGTTCTTATCAATTTGAAGCTCCACACTCCACTCCTCTTTCTTATGACTCTTCTCAGCTAGGTGTTGGCCGATACGGCAAGCCTCAAAGTCCTCGACGCTCGCCACCACGCGCGGAACTTCCTCTGGGATTGACTTTGGTATCACCGCGCGAGGCTTACCGGTCGTAGATGAACGAGATCTTCGTAAGCGTGCCCCCTTTACTCCACTCGGTAAGGATACCACCAAGCTGCATATCTGGGAGCGAACCGACACCCTCCCAAGCACCTCCCAGCGAGCCGGTATCAGTTACGATTGGCTTAAACTAGCTCATCAAGGACACCGGCGGCCAACACAAGGACGTCGTGGTGCGTAATCCTGTCGTCGGATACTTTGAATACGGCGTCGAGTTTGCCGACGACACCTGGAAAGCGTTGCCCAACGCCGAGGTGCCAATTTTGGTTATTATGCCGTCCTATACACGCAACTCGTTGATGATAAGGGTATTGTAAGAAAGACCTTCATCTATAGAGGCCAAGTCGGCGACGGGCGTAAGACCCGCAATAGCATTAGCAACTTTGGTGAGTAATACACCGGATAAATCCCCCCGCTTGAAATTTTCAGAACGTTGCTTATCTGTAATACTCTTCATGTTAAAGCCAAAAGCGAGATAAACGACAAGAAATACAATCACCTCTTGTACAACTGTCAGACCTTCGCGCTCAACATGGTATTGGATCTTAACCCCCAGCAGTAAGTCCAGGACATTCCATACATTGAAAGAAGCCACCAGAGTTTGTATTCAGATTGTCAGAAATGTTGGGGGGGCGGGGGGGGGGGGGGGGGGTAAACGCCCGTTGCCCAAAAGATAACCCATTCAAGCGATTATGCTAGAAGCGATAGTCGTCGATTTATTTTGGTTTTTGATTCC